GCTGAGGAATCAAACCCAGGGTCTCATGCATGCAAGGCAAGCGCTCTACCACTGAGCCACCTTCCCAGCCCCAATAAACATAATCTTTACAATAAGATTGAAATGCCATGCTCTGGCTTTGTCATCTATCAAATGTGAATAACAGATTTGGTCTGAGTGCTTGGCTAGCATGCATGAGGCCCTGGGCTCAATTACCAGAAGCAACAGAGAGAAAAACAACAACAACAACAAAAGGATTGCAATGAGGACTAACTTAACTATGCACAATATAAAAACTGTATCTGGTACATAAGTAAGCCATCTACAAATACGAATTATAGTTATTGCAGGAAGTTGAAAGTCTAAATGAGTGAGGGCAGAAAGTTGCAGAGAGGTCTTTTCTAAATTTCACATAGATAAAGGTTGTGGAGACAAAATAACAAGGGGCGTCAATGGGAAGAATATCAAGGCTTCCAAGATGAATGAGGTTCCCAGATGAATCTAAGGAAGACAAAATAGCTAACACCAAAGTCAGGAAGCAAAGATAGGAAGAAAGGAAGAGAAGGGAGGGATGAAAGGGAAGGGAGGAAATGGCAGACAAGCTGTTAAGTTTGTCTCTTACAAGCTACGTGTGGAAGCCGCCATCGAGACACATAAGAAACTACGTACCTCTTTTAGCAGAGCCACCAGGGGAGTCATGATGTCCTTAGTCACCATGTCATCACAAACTTCAAAACCTCCACAAGCGCTGAGATTTCTATACAAGGCATTTAAAATAGGATTTACTTCTCACTCACTTAAGATTTTCCAATCTGGGGCTGCTATCCTACTGACACACGGCAGGATCAAACTCACTGTTCCTACCTGTTCTGGTCCTCAATGGACAGGAGGTACATAAATGCCTTTGTAACAGAACAACTTAGTTTTGCATCTGGGGCAACACACAGATGCAAGGCTACAGAAGGGGGCTGGGGAGACTTTGCACGTAATATGGATATATTATACCTTTATGGAGTGAACATTTCTTGGAATCGAGTGCAAGGGTAGCAAGGACTAAGGTGAGACTATTGAGAGTGGCATCGCCTGGCTAAAGTTCATTGAATTTAAAAAATTTTTGTGCTGATACCTGCTCTCGCTTAGCTTTTTCTCTCAAGGCTGGCACTATACCACTTGGGCCAGACCTCATCTTCTGGTTTTGTTGGTTAACTGGAGACGAGTCTCTCAGATTTTGTCTGCCTGGGTTGACTTTGAACCTCAATCCTCAGATCTCTCAGCCTCTTAAGAAGCTGGGATTGTAAGTGTGAGCCATCAGTGCCTGGCTAAACTTAATTGGAAAGACACCACTTGCTTTCTGAGTGCACAACACGGTGCCAGACAGAGAATATGGGAAGAAGTCAGAAGATGCCTCAACAATCTCTCAGGATTTCCTACTCTGTGTATGTTTAGGGGGAGAGGCTTACATGCAGTTTCTGCCCAAGGGAAAGATGCATCTTGATTGTCCTCTATCGATGGGCAATCTCCATTTATCTTTAAATCTTACATCAAACATTACTTGCTCAAGGTTTTCTTCTTTGGACCCCTACAGTTACACTCTCTGTAATTGTCTCTGGTTGTAACTAGAAACTTGGATAATGTTCATCTCCATCAACAAACTAAGATTCATCAAAGGGCCAGGCACTGGTGGCTCATGCTTGTAACCCTAACTACTCAGGAGGCTGAGATCTGAGGATCATGGCTTAAAGACAGTCTCTCATGGACAGGAAAGCCCGTGAAACTCTGAACTCCAAGTAACCACCCAAAAAGCTGAAAGTAGGTCTGTGGCTCAAATGATAGAGAACTAGACTTGAGTAAAAAAGCTCAGGGATAGGGGCTGGGAAGCTGGCTCAGTGGTAGAATGCTTACCTTGCATACACGAGGCCCTGGGTTCGATTCCTCAGCACCACATAAGCAGAAAAAAAGCCAGAAGTGGTGCTTTGGCTCAAGTGGTAGAGCACTAGCCTTGAGCTGAAGAGCTGAGGGACAGCGCCCAGGCACAGAGTTCAGGCCCCACGACCAACAACAACAAAACAGCTCAGGGACAGCACCCAGGCCCTGAGTTAAAGCCCCAGGACTGGTACAAGTGGATCTGTGGCTCAAGTGATAGTTAGCCTTGAGTAAAAAAGCTTAAAGATATCACCCAGGACCTGAGTTCAAGCCCCAGGACTGGCACAAAAAACAAACAAAAAATTCCTTGAAACAGTCATGCACTGATGGCTCCCACTTGTAATCAACCCTAGCTACTAAGGAGGCTGAGACCTCAGGATTACAGTTTGAAGCTAGTCTGGGAAGAAAAGTCTGTGAGACTTTATCTCCAATCAACCAGCTAAAACGACAGAAGTGGAACTGTGGCTCAAGTAGTACAACACTAGTCTTGAGCAAAAATGCAAAGGATAGCACCCAGGCTGTGAGTTCAAGCCCCAGGACCAGCACAAAAAAATTGTTTTGAAAGATTCATCAGGCAGGGCTGGGAAGATGGCTCAGTGGTAGAGCGCTTGCCTTGCATGCCTGAGGCCCTGTGTTCGATTCCTCAGCACCACATATGCAAAAAGAAACAAAAAGCCGGAAGTGGCGCTGTGGCTCAAGTGGTAGAGCACTAGCCTTGAGCTGAAGAGCTGAGGGACAGTGCCCAAGCCCAGAGTTCAGGCCCCATGACCGGACCAAAAAAAATAAAAGTAAAAATAAAATAAAATAAATAAATAAATAAAAAAGATTCATCAGGCAGGCACTGGAAGTTCACACCTGTAATCCTAGCCACTCAGGAAGCTGAGATCTGAGGATTGAGGTTTGAAGGCAGCCAGGGCAAGAAAGTGTGTGAGACTCTTATTTCCAGTTAACCACTAAAAAGCTGGAAGTAGAGGTATGGCTCAAGTGCTAGCCTGTAGCAAAAACAAACATCAAACAAAAAAACCCTCAGGGATAGCGCCCAGGCCAAACTCACACTCCAGGACCAGTGCGCACGCACGCATGCGTGTGTACATACACACACACACACACACACAAAGTTCCATCAAGAACAAAAATGTTGCCTGTCTTCTTTACTACCTAAGCCCAGAACCTAGTTCGCTGGCAGTTCATCCTAGGCACTTGATAGCATTTGCTAAGTCAATGACTAAAAAATAATACATATAGACAGAGCAGTGAAAAGTACCAAAATAGTAGAAGTTATTCTACCATTGCTTCCTCTTACAGTCCCTTTTTTTGCACCCAGCCTAACCTCCTCTCAGTGATCTCACCTGGCTCGGCAGCTTTGACGCAGTCTTTCAGGGACACCCATGGACAGGGTCCGTCTCCCAACTTCACCTCCTGTAATTTCTCATCTTACTCCCTGCAGCCACACTAGCAGTCCTGTTCTCTATCCTGGCCAAGCAGCATTAGTGTTGTCTCCTCTGAGGGGAATGCTCTACTCACTCTTGTCCCTGCCTTGATACCCTCCTGCAAGGTCTTGGTTCACAAAGGCCATCTGGTGAGCACACACTTTAAACTTCCCGCTTCCAGTTCCTCACCCTCACCAGTCTTTCTTGTGGAACGACCTGACAACTGATCAAAACCCCTGCATTTGGGGGCATTACCTGGTACACAGGCAGGGGAGTTCATCCACCTAGGCAGGGGACTTTTGGGGAGGGAGAAAAGTGCTGCCAGGTTTGGGGGCAGGTGCCTTAGCAAGAGGGATGGTGCCAGGAGGAGCGGCGGAATGCATGTGGTGTGCGGGCCGTGGGGCGCCCTGAAGCCTGACCTCACCCCCTCCTTCAGACCCGGGAGCCCAGGCAGGGTTTCCAACTTCCTAATGCACTGAGTGCAGCAGGCTGTGTGCTCCCGGCTGAGCCCCAGGCCCGGGGACGCTCACGATGGGTACCACCCCAGACCCTCTCCCTGTTCACCTCAGCGCGCCGGCCGCCGTCTCCCTGACCGCCAGGCTGGGGTCGAGCAGCAGCGGCCCGAGCTGGCGTACAGCATCGCGGCGAGCAAGGCTGGGCAGCGCCGGCCGCTGCTGCACCAGGCGGGCCAGCCCCGCGCAAGCGCACTCGCGGACCTCAGCGCTCGGGTGCTGGAGCTGCGGAGACAGGAGAGGTGTCAAGAGTCAGGCCGTGCGCATGCGCGCCACAGACACGCCCGCCCCCGGGGCCCAGACCCGGCGGAACTCGGGTTTCACCTTTTCCAGCAGCTCGGCCGCCGGCTCGTCGTCCTCCTCGTTTTCGGTCCCATTCGCGGCTCCCGCAGCCTCGGCCTGACAGCTGCCGGTAGGGGAGAACTGAGGTCGCTTGAAGCGCTTGGTCCGGCTCTTGCCCATGGCCACGTAGGTGGAGGGGATTTAAAGGGACAAGCACCAGTAGGTGGTTGAGACTGCCCAGTTGGTTCCGACGTCTTCCAGCCAAAGGGATTTAAAGTTAGCCTATCCGTGCCTGCCGGCCGCCAGGGCGCACTGGGAGGAGCAGCGCGCACGCGCACGGTGTGTCCGCAGCGCGAGAGGCTGTGCGGGATGTACGCATGCGTGAAAGGCGACATGAGCGGGGCGGGGACATTCAGGGTGGGGCGGGGTTTTGTGGCTCTTCCTGGGAAAAGTCGTGCTGGTCCCGCCTCCCTCCAATTAATGTATAGCTGCTAAATCAGTCCTGGAATGAAGATAAATTTTATTTCATAGTAATCGAAGCAGCTATTCCTACAGCATATCTCAGAAAACAAACACAGAGATGTAAAAGCCCTACAGGAGCCTGGGCTTTTCCAGGAAGACCAGCTGTGGATACTAAGACACCTTGGAGTCACCACATATATGCTGGTGGCTTTCATTTTCTAGGTCCCTCTTATCCAGCCACACATCTTCTGCCATATCCCTATTCTGAGCGAATGTAATCCTTTGACTTTACCACATGGCCCATTGGCCTTCCCATTTCCATGTTTTCAAAATCTCCACTTGGACTGCGGACATGCTTCAACTGGTAGAGGACTGACTGGTTAGCTCTAGAAACAGGCGAGGATCCCTTCACCTTTCTCCTTAGAAACTCTTGCTTAGGGCTGGGAAGGTGGCTCAGTGGTAGAGCGCTTGCCTTGCATGCATGAGGCCCTGGGCTCGATTCCTCAGCACCACATAAGCAAAAAGAAAAAAGCCGGAAGTGGCGCCGTGGCTCAAGTGGTAGAGTGCTAGCCTTGAGCTGAAGAGCTGAGGGACTGTGCACAGGCAATAAACCACTCAGAAAACCGGAAGTGGCGCTGTGGCTCAAGTGGTAGAGCACTAGCCTTGAGCTGAAGAGCTCAGGGACAGGCCCAGAGTTCAAGACACACCACTGGAAAAACAACAACAACAAAAAACTTACCTTTGAGCCACAGCTCCATTTCTGGCTTTTTGGTGGTTAATTGGAGATAAGAGTCTCATAAACTTTCCTGCTCAGGCTGGCTTTCAAATGTGATCCTCAGATCTCGGCCTTTTGAGTAGCTAAGATTACAGGTATGAACCACTGGCACCCTATTCTTTAGTCATGTCTATGCCCCATACCCTACATCCATGAACTAGTTAGTGCACATGTGTTACTTCTTCATAGATGCCTCCTCTGACTTTATAATCAGGGACAGTTCTCTCCTGAGACAGCACAAACCTTGTTCCTTGTTTCAAACACTTAGTTCAAAATTCAGTTGTAATTGTCAGTTTCTGTATGTACTAACACAATTTTGCTAGCTTCCCCAGTTGAACCCATCTGTGTATAAAGACACAAATGACACTAGCATGTCACATGACCAAACATGATCAGGAAGGAATAAGGCATGCCATCTAGATGGAACCACTGAAATAAAAACAGATCTTTTGCTGGTGCTGGTGGCTCCATGATTGTAATCCTAGCTACTCAGGAGACTTATAACTGAGAATTATGGTTCAAAGCCAACCCAGGCAGGAAAGTCTATAAGACTCTTATCTCCAATTAACCACCACAAAACTGGAAGTGATGCTGTGGCTCAAAGTGGTAGAGCACTAGCCTTGAGCAAAAAGAGCTCAGGAACAGCACCCAGACCCTGAGTTTAAGCCCTGGGACCAACAACAACAAAAATCTTTTGCTATTTCATTGTGAAAAGAAGCAAGACAATAGTTAAGAAACTTTTCTGATTGGAAGGAGGATGCAGGAGGATTATAGCCAACCCAGGCAAAATAGCAAGACCTGTTTCAAAAACAAAGAAACAAACTTAGATGACCCAGATTTCAGTGCTGTGAAATGACTATATGACCCAGAGTGAGCTCTAATGCAAACCACAGACTCTGGGTGACAAGAGGTGAGTGGCATTGACAATTGGTCAGGCTATGTATATGTGTGTGGGTGGGAGTTAAGGAGGTATGTGGGACATCTCTGCACCTTCTTCCTCTCAATTCTGCTGTGAACTGAAAATTGCAATCTTTAAAAAAAAACTACAATCTTTAAAAAATCAAAATAAATGAAAACATTGTAGCTAGTGCAGAACCTTGTGGTCTGTTATCATTGTTACTTTCTTCAGTGAGAGATTAACATCTTTTTGAAAATGAATGATAAGACTATTGAATGAGTTTAGCAGCTATCCAGCTACCTATGGGGGATTAAGTTTTAGAAGAAGCCCAATGACCTTTAAGCAGTCTAATCCTGCAGTCATTTACTATTTATTCATGATGCTAGGGCCTCCTGGATACTTGTAGGCATGTTCTTTATCACTGAGGTTCAACCTCAGCCATTTAAAACCATCAAAACAATGATTATCTAACCATTTTTTCCTACAGATTGTTTTGGCATGAGAATTTATTTGGGGGAAGGGAGAGTTGAACTCAGAGCCTGGTACTTGCTAAGCAGGTGCTCTGCTGTTGAGAAGGTATGCTTCTTGCTCTTTTATGACTTTTTTTTTTTTTTTGGTTGTGGGGCTTGAACTCTGGGCCTGCGTGCTGTCCCTCAGCTCTTCAGCTCAAGGCTAGTGCTTTACCACTTGAGCCACAGTGCCACTTCCAGTTTTCTGAGCGGCTTATTGTATATAAGAGTCTCACAGACGTTCCTGCCCAGGCTAGCTTTGAACTGCGATCCTCAGATCTCAGCCTCCTGAGTAGCTAGGATTACAGACGTGAGCCACTAGCACCCAGCTGCCTTGGTTATTTTTGAGATAGGATCTCCCTTCCTTACTGGCACTTGCCTGGACCACAATTGCCTATTTTTTCACTTCTTGCTATAGCTGGGATGACAAGTATAGGTGACTATGCCTACCTACTGGTTGAGGAATCTCAAAAAGTTTTTTTGCCCAGAGTTGGCCTTGAACCTCTATCTTCCCAATCTGTCTCCCAAGTAGGTAGGATTACAAGCATGGGCCATCAGCACTATCTAAGAGAATATCTGAACTGCAAAGAGATCTTAAGATAAGTTTGGTATCTTGTCATCACTTAACTGGCCCAAGGAATTATTTAAAAATAGAAGCTAATTCTTCTCCTAGATGTCTGTCGTATCCCTTCACATTTTGGTAATGTAACTTTCTTAGCATATACCCTGAGCAATAAGTATTGACAGTCTGATCAATAAAATCTTTGACAGTCCTAGATAGTTATGGAATCCAGCTTGAATGTTTGTGTAAAATGTACATTAAATGGCCACTGCACTCTGATATGTGTTTCCAACAATTCTCCAGCTCAGGTGCCATCTTAGCTTCACCTGGACTCTCAGAGGATTTGCCTTTGACTTATAGAACTGGAGAGCTCAGCAAGCTTGAACACCTTCCTCCCCATCCAATGTCCCCACGTTCCCAAGACACAGTGTTAGATCTACTTACAGCTCCTCTGTGTTATAGGGGCTTGTGGGACTTACAGATGATCTAGCCTATACAGATGACCAAAACATGGGGCCTGCTTCTTGAATTCACCCTACCTGCTGACCAGACAGACACAACTCCCACCCCTGGTCTTTCCATGTACTTTGTGTGCCCATGAATTGTTATCAAAGATATGCATGTGGGAAGATGGCCTACCTAGCAAGTGTAAGGCCTTGGGCTCTATCCCCAGCACAGGAAGGGAGCAGGAAATGGTAGGCATTTGGGAGCTCTGAGAGCTTCTTGAAGGGCAGGGGCCATTGCCAGTCTTTAAATGATCACTGTCTGGCACTTAGCTGAGTTACAGTCCTTGGACTGTCCACTCCCTCTACATGGTTACTGCCCTCTGTCTCAGATAGCCCTACATTAAGTGACCAGGTTCTACCTTCCCTTCTATAGGTCTACTACCTCCCAATAGTCTTTTCAAATGTTAAAATCCATCCAGATCTATTTCTCTCTGAAAACATCCATGAGACACTTCACTATCTCTTATCTGTGAATCCAATCAAGTTGACAACCAAGATTGGCATGTCTTGCATACTAGGCAAGTGTTCTACCACTTAGCTACATCCTCAGCCTCAAAGCTTATTTTTTTTTAAAGCCCACAAAACCTGTTTTGAGCAAATTCATTGATAATTATTATAGACTCCATTTTCCATTTGGAGAGTAAGCATTCTGAGAGTTTGCATTATGGTCCTCTCACATGCCAGGTATTATTCTGACAGTTTTGCAGGTCATAATCTCCTGACTCCACCAACAATTCCAGGTAATGTTGGAGATAAGGAAATGGAGGCACAGAGGAATCAAATGACTTGTTTGAGAGTTCAAGATTTGTAAAGACAAAGACAGGATTTAAGCTACATAGTCATGCTCCAGAGCTTGATCGTAATGTCTGCAATAGTGAGTTACCTAAGAGCTAGAAAATTGAGGAAATTTACCAGGAAACACCAGGTAAAGGAGAATAGAAAACATATGCAAGAATAGGACACTGAGGGCTGGAAATGTGGTTTCGTGGTAGAGTGCTTGCCTAGCATGCATGAAGCCCTGGGTTCCATTCAGTATCACATACACAGAAAAAGCCAGATGTGGCTCTGTGGCTCAAGTGGTAGAGTGCTAGCCTTGAGCAACAGAAGCTCAGGGACAACATCCAGGCCCTGAGTTCAAGCCCCAAGACTGGCAAAAAAAAAAAAGAATGGCACACCAAAATTGGGCAATTGGTGCTGTACACCCATGTATTCACTTGTAAAATAATCCAGTGAGGCGTTGGTGGTTCAAGCCTGTAATCCTAGTACTAAGGAGGCTAAGACCTGAGGATCACAGTTTGAAGCTGGACTGGGCAGGAAATTACACCTGCTCATTTCCAATTAATCACCAAAAAGCCAAAAGTGGAGCTGTGACTCAAGTGGTAGAGTACTAGCTTTGAGAAAAAAAAAAGAAAAGAAAAGCTCAGGGACAGCACCTAGGCTCTGAGTTCAAGCCCTAGGACCAGCATACACACATACACACACACCTGCACACACACACACACACACACACACACACACAATTCATCTAACAAACCCATACTTAAGTTACCTCACCAGAAAAACTATTTCCTGCAGATACATAAACTGAACAGTTATTAAAGGAAAAGGGTTCCCTGTCCCTCTCCACAAACTTTTGACTGGTTAATCCTTGACCGCGGTATCCAGAAATTATCTTTCTACTGTTCTAAGTGGCCAGCATCAGATGAATTCTCCAATATCCTGTCCTCAACATAATTCTACCACAATTCACTGTTTTTGTAATTTTTTAAATTTCTAAATAATTTTGTTGTTGGTGGTGGTTGTTTGTTTGTTTTTTGGTCAAGTCATGGGGCTTGAACTCTGGGCCTGGGTGCTGTCCCTCAGCTCTTCAGCTCAAGGCTAGTGCTCTACCACTTGAGCCAAAGCACCACTTCGGGCTTTTTCTGCTTATGTGGTGTTGAGGAATCAAACCCAGGACCTCATGTATGCAAGGCAAACACTCTACCCCTGAGCCACCTTCCCAGCCCCGATTTTTTTTTTTTTGTTTTTGAGACCAGGCACCACTTTCCTGCCCAGGCTCATTTGGACTTCCTGCTCAAGCAATCCTCCTTCTCCAGTCTCTGTGTAACTAGCACTACAGTGCAAAGCACAGTCCTGATTAAATCAACAGTCATGGTCTAAGTTTCTGGGGCCATACAAATGTTGCTCACTGTTGAACACTAACTCCAGTTACTCTGACAACGCTTTGTTTTTCCTGAAGTTAATTGCCTTTCTCCACGATTCTAGTTTCCCATTTGTCATTACTTTTTCTGAAATGTTCGACACTTTTACCTATTAATATTTTCCCATACATTTAAACATATTCATTGCAGTTTTCTCAAGTCATGGAGCATATGCATAGTATGTACGAGGTCCTGCTATGAGCAGGACTTTTCTCCACAAAAATACAAAAAAGAGGGAGCTGGATTTATTTAATTTGGCCAGTTCTAGAAGCTGTCCCTGAGCTTTTTCAGCTCCAGGCTAGTGTGTGTGTGTGTGTGTGGTGTGTGTGTGTGTGTGTGTGTGTGTGTGATTAGTTGGAAATAAGAGTCTTACATATTTTTCTGCCAAGGCTGGCTTTGAACTGCCATCCTTAGATCTCAGTCTCCTGAGTAGTTAGGATTACAGGCATGAGCCACCAGCATCCAGCTCTGAATTTTGATAACATGAAATTATTTTAGGTGTGATACAGTACTGCAGCTATACAAAGAAAAGGTTTGTTTTTTTGGGGGGGGGTCTGGTTGTGGGGCCTGAACTCTGGGCCTAGGTGCTGTCCCTCAGCTCTTCAGCTCAAAGCTAGCGCTCTACCACTTGAGCCACAGCACCACTTCCAGCTTTTTTCTTTTTGCTTATGTGGTGCTGAGAAATTGAACTCAGGGCCTCAGGCATGCAAGGCAAGCGCTTTACCACTGAGCCACCTTCCCAGCCCCTAGAAAGGTTTATTTTGGCTCACAGTTTTAGAGATTTCAGATTCAGGGACACTGCCTAGGCCCTGAGTGCAAGCCCCAGGACTGGCAAAAAAAAAAAAAAAAGTTCCTGGGCTGGGAATGTGGCTTAGTGGTAGAGTGCTTGCCTAGCATGCATGAAGCCCTGGGTACCTCATAAGTGGCACTGTGGCTCACGTGGTAGAGTGCTAGAGAGGCTCAGGGACAGAGCCTAGACCCTGAGTTCAAGCCCCAGGACTGGGGGGGGGGAGAGGGAGCTGGTGGGGGAGGAGTTCCTGCTTTGAGCTGGGTGTTGGGGTCTAGCTACTCAAGAGATCTAAGAATCATGGTTCAAAGCTAGCCCAGGCAGGAAATTCCATAAGTCTCCAATTAACCACTAAAAAACTGGAACTGGAACTGTAGCTCAAGTGGTAGAATGTTAGCCTCAAGAAAAAGTGAGCTCATGGGCTGGGAATGTGGTTTAGTGGTAGGGTGCTTGCCTCACATTCATGAAGCCCTGGGTTCAATTCCTCAGTATCACATACACAGAAAAAGCTGGAAGTGGCACATGGGTCAAGTGGTAGAGTGCTAGCCTTGAGCAAAAAGCAGTCAAGGACAGTGCCCAGGCCCAGAGTTCAAGCCCCAGGACTGGAGGCAGGGGGGAGAGAGAGAGGAGACAGACAGACAGACAGACAGATACACACACACACACATACACACACACACAGGCTCAGAGTTCAAGCTCCATGACCAATAACACACACACACACACACACACACACACACACACACACACACACACACACACACACACACACACACACACAGGCTCAGAGTTCAAGCTCCATGACCAATAACAAAAAGTTTCTGTTTGGAACTTTTTGGCTTGGCTCTTGTTGATTATTCTGTTTCAAGAAACTAACTGGGGTATATTTGGGGATTATTCGTGAACTATTCTTATCTCAAAGTCTTTTGGTGGTTACTTTATGTAAATATATTCTACTTTCTTCAAATAGGTCAATCTTGAGCAGATTACAAACAAGCTTGGCCAATCTGAGGGGCAGGACCTGCTATATTAGATAAAAAGGCAGTGGCCTGCCTGCTCTCCGGGCTTGCCAGTCAACTTTGCTGAGTTCTTTTTGGAGTGTTGATTCCTACATGGCACCCCAATATCATGTACCATTTCTTACAGTATTAAGTAGCAAGATTATTATTAGTGCCAGTCCTGGGGCTTACACAGGGCTTAGGTGTTGCCTTGAGCTTCTTATACTCTAGGCACAGTTCCACTTCTGGCCTTTTTGGTAGTTTAGTGGAGGTAAGAGCCTCACATTTTCCTGGGCTGGCTTTGAAACTGCCATCCTCAGATCTCAGCCTCCTAAATACAGTAGCTAGGATTACAGGTATGAGCTACCTGGCTTGACTTCTCTTGTTTTTCAAGCTTGCATAGCAGACATCAACTTATAGTCTAAAAACATTAGTTACTAGAAAGTTTGAGCTTCCTAATGAAGTAGGCATGTACTTACTTCATAGATGATCTGAAAGAAAAATGAGACTCCTATGGCTTCAAATGACAGTGAAACAATTTAGTTGCTCAGACAGGCAGAGTGTTTATCAGTGAGCATTCTTGGCATCCTGTCTATAAAATACCAGCTCTAAAGACAGGGATGTGAGGGTGATCTGGCTGCAACATCTGTCACCCCATTGATTGCCAAGGTTGATTCGGCTGATCTGGCTGACTAGGCAAGTGTCCCCTGTTCCCTTCCTCCCTCACCGCTTCATGTGCACTTGGTCAAAGAGGAGGACTTTCCCTGATAGAGGACCGGTCTTTGGTCAAGGGTATAGGAGTAGCTGCGCTTCCCTGCTAGAACCTCCAAACAAGCTCTTAAGAAAGACAGACCCTTCAAAAAGCAGTAGTCAGGTTAGGGTGTGGTAGTATAGGCTTGTGCTCTCTGATACTCAGAAGGCAAAGATTGGAGGATCTAGGTCCAAGGGTGAAAGCACAAGACCTTAGCTGAAAAGTAAACTTTTACTTTTTAAACAAAATGGACTTTTACTAAGTAAATGCAAGGCCTCAAGTTCAATACCCAGTGCTACCCCAAAACAAAACTTAAAACAGCACCTCAGTCACAGCTTTCAATCTTTCAGCGAGGTTGCTCAATGAGACAACTAAATGTGACTTCAGTATACTTGGTTCAAAAGATAAATTTCCTCAAGGATGAATTAATTAAAATGTTGCATTGATTTTATTTCCTCTGTTGCATGTAAAGTAAAATGTCTCATTTGGAATAAGCATCTATCAAGAATTTTTAATTTTGTTATATATGACATAAACCAAAGAAAAAGTCCAATCACTAGTTATATATAAAGTATTTATTTTTATGCACATATTTACCTACAAAATTTACAGAAAATAAAACAGCAGAATTTGTAGAATGCCCTCTTCAGACTTCTTAGGAGCAGAGGGTTTTATTGCTGCAGTTCAAAAAATAAAACTTTACACAAGTGAAAGTCAAGATGAACAAAATCTTAAAAAAAATATATATAGTTAGCACTAAATAAAACAATGAACTGAAAATAATCACAGAGCTGCTGTAGTTAAGAATCTGGTTTAACAAAAATTCTCAAAACACCTGTAATTTCTTACAACATAATGGAGATGCGTTTTCCTCAGTCTAAGCAGAATCTGTTGTTTTTCCTGCAGTACAATTAAGAGAAGAATGAATGAAAGGCACACATAACAGCCAGTGTTAAGAGAGCTATGAGGATGGCAAGCAGATGTTCCTGAAATACTGGTGCAGGGGAATAAGGTCCACACATCTTCCTCTTTGTTTAATGTTGGCATTGATTTGCTATTTACAGTAGTTTGCAAAAATACATTATAAAAACTGAGTGAGGTTCGGCTTCTAAGTTTAACTTAGTAACATAGATGCATACTTCATCTGCAAAACTCTTTGCAGGAACTGAAGTACTAAAGTGACACTAATACTGAACACAGGTAATCAAAGGTACCGAAGCACCAACAACTTGAGTTATCATCAAGACAATCTTGGGAAATATTGCACACTTCTTGTCTGTTGTTGCTATAACCTTCACGTATCCAACTGCAAAAGGAATCCTTATGGCTTTTTGCGGTATCACTTATTTGAAGAGAGACTGTTTTAGGTCCCATAACAATGAGTGCAGATTGTCATTGAACGTGAGGCCTAGGTTTCAAAATTAGTTTTCCTGTCTGTAAAAGAAAAAAATTCAACATACAGTTCTATTAGAAATATTTCCATTTTATTTATAAACTTTATAGAGCATTTATTTATACGGAGTCAGAGTATTTCTCCATATTTAGGCAACATTCAACAATCATTAGGTATGTTTTTAAAGCTCCCGTTATGTGGACTGAATGAATTCCTTACCACTTCAGCAGAAACACACAACTGGGGAAGTAGCTTGGTAGAAAAATACATATTTAGCAGGCACAAGGCTCTGGGTTCAACCCCTAGCATCAAAAACAAAACAAAACCAACAGGCACACATATATCTTCAATTCCCTGCTCCCTTGTTAGCTAGAAATCAAACATTTTATACACTGGATAAAATTCTTAACTCATACAGATTTATGTTCCTTACTAGATGAAATCTCAAAGACATAAAACCATATATTTGGGGGGTGGGGGGAGGGCGGGTGAGAGATGGGAAGGGATGGAAAGGGGAAACAAAGGAGGAGGCAACAATGCTTGATAAGAAATGTACTCATTATCTTGCCCATGTAATTGTAACCCCTCAGTACGTTATTTTCACAATTAAAAAAAAAACCATATATTTAGGCAAAACGTTTCTTCTTTTTTTATTTTTGGGTAAGGTCATGGGGCCTGAACTCTGGGCCTGGGCACTGTCCCTCAGCTCTTCAGCTCAAGGCTAGCGCTCTACCACTTGAGCCACAGCACCACTTCCGGCTTTTTTCTTTTTGCTTATGTGGTGCTGAGGAATCGAACCCAGGGCCTCAGGCATGCAAGGCAGGCGCTCTACCACTGATCCACCTTCCCAGCCCCACGTTTCTTCTTTTCAACATAAAAGAAGTTAACTTCTTCAAGTTAAAAAGTGAGCTAGGTGCAAGTGGTTCCTGTCCATAATCCTAGCTACCTCAGGAAGCTGAGATTTGGAGGATGACTGTTTGAGGGCAACCCAGGTAGAAAAGTTTGACAGACACAATCTGCAAATTAATCATCAAAAAGCACTCTGGCTCAAGTGGCAGAGTGCTATTCTAGCAACTGTGATAGCTTGAGTTTAAATTCTAGTACTGCCACACAAAAAAAGTATAACAATGGTTGGAGCAATGAACACACACACTGCTAGTGTTCAGTGTATGTTGGTAATTCAGTGTTAAGCAGAGCCATCTTTAAAATAAATAATAGTTAAATGCATACCTTAAAACCAAACAAATTACTTTATCTGGAAGAAAGGGGATTTAGGTGCAATATAGTACACAGAAATAGTGTAATCATTAAGCGTTTTCTTTTTTTGTTGTTGTTGGTCATGGGGCTTGAACTCTGGGCCTGGGCCCTATCCCTGAGCTCTTCAACTCAAGGCAAGCATTCTACCAATTGAGCCATAGTGCCACTTCTGGTTTTCTGGTGGTTAATTAGAGATCAGAGTCAAGTATGGATAGTTTGGAAAATGGGGGGAGCTGTATGTTAAACAGGAATTAAATCAAGACAAATTAATTAACTGTGTTAACATGCAATTAAACAAAATGGAGCATATCTAAGTCCTAATACTGGGTTACGGGAGCAAGTTTGAAAAATCTGTAGCATCTTCCTTTAATAGTCAGTAAGAATATACAACAAGGTGGGTGCCAGTGGCTCATGTCAGTAATCCTAGCTACTCAGGAGGCTAAGATCTGAGGACTGATGTTCAAAGCTAGCCTGGGAAGAAAACTCTGTGAGACTTAACTCCAATTAACCACCAAAAAGAGCTGGAAGCAGAATTGTTGCGCAAGTGGTAGAGCGTTAGCCTTGATTAAAAAAAAAAGCTCAGGGACAGCTCCCAGGTCCTGAGTTCAAGCCCCAGGATCACACACACACACACACACTACAATATCCCCAGGATCACACACACACACACACACACACACACTACAATATCCCCAGGATCACACACACACACACACACACACACACACACTACAATATCCCCAGGATCACACACACACACACACACACACACACACACACACTACAATATCCCCAGGATCACACACACACACACACACACACACACACACACACACACTACAATATCGTCAATCATTATCTTTGGTTGATGAGATTTCAAGTAGTTTATTATCTGCAGCTCAAAAGTGTTATTTGGATTCTGGTTGCCTTTTGACTTTCACTTAAATTTTGGTCACTTAATTTCTGTTTAGTCATTGATATCTTGGTGGATTTCTGATACTTTTTCCACTGTTCTACTGAGCTATATTTTTTATTAGTTAGTCCTGGGGCTTGAACTCAGGGGCTGGCCACTGTCCCTGAGATACTCTACTACTTGAGCCACAGGCCACTTCCGGCTTTTTTCTGTTTATGTGGTACTGAGGAATCAAACCCAGGGCTTCATGCATGCAAGACAAGCATTCTACCACTAAGCTATATTCCCAGCCCACAGCTATAATTTGTATATAAGAAAATGCTCAAATCTTGGGTTGGGAATGTAGCTTATTTATTAATTTTGTTCCTGGTCTTGAACTCTGGGCCTGGGCACTGTCCCTAAGCTCCTCCTGCTCAAGGCTAGCACTCTACCACTTGAGCTATAGCACCACTTCTAGCTTTTTCTGTGATTCATTAGAGATGAAGTCTCATGGACCTTCCTGTCCAAGCTGGCTTCAAACTGTTATCCTCAGATCTCTGCCTTCTGAGTAGCTAGGATGAGCCACCAACACTGGGTTAAATAGCTTAATTATAGTACACTTTCCTAGCATATGTATAAGACTGAGTTTGATCAGCTTGCACATGGGTGTTCACATGTACACGCAAATGTATACACACAGTTCAGCCCAATTCCTGTATTACGTTCTGACAAACATTGCCACCACTCTGATTGAGTTCTCACTATTCAGTAAGACCCTCTGTGCTCCTCTGCAGCCATGGTTTCTACTTCTCACCTCCTAAGAACATAACCACTTAGTGTGGCTTGTCTTTGAACCATACAATGTGTCTGAGTTTCCTTCATGTTACTCTCTTTCAGTAACTTGCCACTTTTTAATTTGGCTAAGAAGCATTCTACCTCATGAATATACTTTTGTGCTTTTAATTACTAAGCTATTACTGCAATCTCACCACAAAATGATTCAAATAACAAACAATTAAGTTACCCTTCCATCTACCACAAATACAAAATACTGCTTCTCCCTCCAGAAGAATTTTTCTATGAGCATTTGTTTTTTTAAGACAGGATCTCACTAAGTAGTTTATGTTGGCTTTGAATTCTGGATTACAGGCATGCACTACCACACCAGCTCATTGTTTTTTTTTTTGTTTTGTTTTGTTTTTGAGAAAGGGTCTTGCTAGAGGCTGAAAACTTATGATTCTTCTGCCTCAGCCTCTGGTGTATCTGGGGCTACCAGCATGTGCCACTGTTCCTGGCTCATAATTAAAACTTAAAAAAAAAAAAGTTTGTAGCATAAGTTGAAGCTGAACTTTACATCCTCCTGCCAAACCTCTTAGTGCAAGAATCACAAGAGTATGCCATCACACCAGGCATAATTACATCTATAGCTGGACACCTGTAATCTTAGCTACTTAGGAGGCTAAGATCTGAGGATCATGGTTTAAGAAGTCAGCCCTGGCAAAAAAACAAACAAAAATCTTTATAAATGATAAAAAGAATAATTTTAAAAATGCTTCATAATGATACACCAAGATATATTCCCAACACTGCATTTTCTTTTCTTTTGTCAGTCCTGGGGCTTGAATTCTGGGCCTGGGCACTGTCCCTCAGCTCTTCAGCTGGCTGGCTTTGAACGGTGATCTTCATATCTCAGCCTCCTGAGTAGCTAGGATTATAGGCATGAGCCACTGGTGCCCAGCAAGCATTTTCTAGTACTAGAGCTATCAACATATACTTGTAGCTTTCTTTTTTCTGGACCTGAGGCTTAAACTCAGGGACTAGGTGCTGTCAGAGCTGTTTTACTGCTGAAGGCTAGCACCCTACCAAATGAGGCTCCACTTCCAGCTTTTTGTTGATTAATTGAGATAAGAGTCTCATGGACTTTCTCCTCTGGGCTGGCTTCAAACTGCAATCCTCAGATCACAGCCTCCTGACTAGGATTACCAGCATGAGCCACCAGCACACGGTTATAGCTGTAACTTTTACTAATCAGATAAAGTAAATGGAAATTCATTGTTTTACTTTGCATTTCCTCAACTACAAATGAGTTTTCCAATGTATCTGCCTCACAGGTAGCTGGGCCCATAGGCACGTGATATCATGCCCAGCTCTCTGTCCAGTCTTTATGTAAGCTTACTGGTCATTTGTATTTCTACTTTTGTCATCTTTCTACTTCTGTATCTTTCTCCACCTTCTATTCTAGCACCTTCTTTGTGCTGATGAGGACTAAACCAGGCCTCCCACAGGCCAGCCTGAGGGGAGACCTGGGCTGGAGGAGAGGCCTGCATAAGGCTGAGAGGCCTATGCAGAGTGGAGGGGCCTGTCAAGATCAGAGAGGCCCACAGAGAGGTAGAGAGGTCTGGAGAGGCATAGAGGTGGGCTGAGGCAGGCGGAGAGGTGAAGAGGCTGGTGGAGAGGCAAGCGGGGAAGCTGAGAGGCCCACACAGAGCTGAAGGGCCTGCAAAGAGGCAAGACCTGTGGGATAGGAGGGAAAGGAGGGAAAAAGAAAAAGTAAAACTTGCCCCTTGGAGGTTGCAGCTGCTCCTAGTTCTGAGGTAGCCCAGGATAGGGCAGTTGCAGACTGACTAATAAAACTCCTTTGTCACCTTTAACTGTACCTCTGTGGATTTTCTTGCTCTCAGAATTTTACACTACCACTGAACTACACCCTGACACCCAAATCTTGTAAATCTAAAATGAGTGCCATTTTAAGAAGCATCATGAAAGCTGGGGGCCAGTGGCTCATACCTGTAATCCTAGCTGCCCAGGAAGCTGAGATCTGAGGATCGCCATTCAAAGCCAGCCCAAGCAGAAAAGTCTGTGAGACTCTTATCTAAAATTAACCACTAGAAAACCAGAAGTGGTGCTATGGCTCAAGTGGTAGGGTGTTCACCTTGAGCTGAAGAGCTCAGGGACAGCACCTAGGCCCAGTGTTCAAGCTCCATGAACAACAACAAAAAAGCATCATGATTCTATGTCAGTAAGGAAGATTAAGTGGCCGACTTGGCCAATTTCATTGCATCATTATTGGGAGCATCACAACTGCAGAAGTTAAAATGTAAAAAAAAAAAAAAAGTGTCTGAACCAATTCTGTAAGTGACAGTCTATTAATTCACCGTCTACAGTTTACTCTTCCTGTTTTTTTGAACTCATAACCCTCCCACCTCAGGCACTGGAATGTCAGGATTACTAGAGTGTGCCACCATACCAAGTTCAAATGACTGCTTTAACTCAACATTTCAGTTCTTCCATGCAGTTTTACAGTTTTCCAATGAAAAAAGTACTTACATCATCACAAGACATATTGTACTCTGCCAAAACAGTTCGACATCGAGCAGCTATACTGAATGAATATGGTCAAAGGAAAATTCTGTCTCAAAAGCAAGCTTCTGTAACAGGCTGGTTATGAAATATACCCCAAAAGCTCTTACTGAGGCGTGGATCCCAGCTGGCAGTGATTAGATCATGATCAATCCTCTGGCCAGTTCACTGCTAATAGGATATTACAAGGTAGGGCCTCACTTGGAGGCATGGGTCACCAGGGGCATGCCTTTGAAGGGTGTATCTTTTCCTCAGCTCCCTCCTGTCTCCTTTCATTTCTTGGCTGCCACAAAGTGAGCAGCTCTGCTCCTGCACACTTCCCTGACATGATATCTGCTTCACTAAAGCCTAAAGCCATGGAGTCATCTAACCAACGACTGAAGCCTCCAGAATTTCAATCACAGTAATTCTTCCTTAAATTGCTTGTCTCAGATATTCTGTCACTAACACAACATCTAACAATCACTCAGATTACTGAGAACAGTGCTTTATCCATGGTTAAGGATACATTGATGGTGCAACTACTCTCTTGTGTATTCCAGCAAAGAACAAGCCTATTAGAGTGATACAGCTAATAGTAAAAAATGGGTGATTCCACAATGATGTGAAGAAGGACACCTGCAAAAGAAAAGGATGAAATGTAACAATGTTACATTCTTAGAACAATATGATTCCTATACCCCCTTGCATAAATAGATGTAATATACAAGTTATCATTGAAGACTTCTAATAACCCTAGTTCTCTACTGCTATGCTATAAGAACATTTTAATTTCACCAATGGTTACTGTTTTCTTTCCTTTCTTTTTTTTTAAAGCCACTCTATCACTAAGCCACATTCCCAGCCTCTTGTCTTCAATGTATGTTTTGTATCTTCTATATATCAAAATACTAACACTCTACTTCAAACACCTGAATCCGAACAATTTCAGTCCTCTAATCAAAAAATCCTACCAAAAAAGTTATTAAATTCTGTGTTCAATGAATGAAGGTGAAGCTTCTAGTCTCAAGAAAAACACAAGTTAGATGTGATCTAGTTACCACCCTGCCCAACACTTCCTTTGGAGAGCTGGGCAAGTTCAACCATGCATACCCCAGTCCCAAGTATAATCGCCACTTCCTGCCACACCCGTATGCACATACCTCCCACCCCTCCAAATCCTACATACAAATCCTCTGAGACTCAGCTTGGTAATGTATTACCCTCCTTCCTCAAAGCAACAAATGAATTGGTTTGAATCTACTAAGATCTTTACAGATGTGGGACACTCAAGCAGGGGGAAAAATGGTTAGAAGCTGTCTGTAAAGAACTAGAACTCAAGAGAAGAACAGGATTCCTTTGGCTCCGTATAATGAGATGATAGTACAAAACCAGACAACATAAAATTCTCAAACTATATAGAGGGACAAGAGACCAGGATTCACAACTGGAACAAGAGTGGGAGCCAAGCCACACAGTTGGGGAATAGAAACCTAAACCAAAGAGAAGACAAGAGCTAGGAGCACCTAAAAAAGGAATTCAAGTCTAGGAATGTAGCTTAGTGGTAGAGTGCTTGCCTAGTATGCATGAAGCCCTGGGTTCCATTCCTCCGTACCACATAAACAGAAAAAGCCAGAAGTGGTGCTGTGGCTCAAGTGGTAGAGCACTAGCCTTGAACACAGGCTAGGGACAGAGGCTCAGGGACAGTGCCCAGACCCTGAGTTCAAGCCCCAGGACTGAAAAAAAAAAAAAAAAGAATTCAAGCTAGTAACTACATGGGAGCAACAGAATTAAGAGGTGCCATGTTTTAAGACACACTACCTATTTCAGAACAGAAAAAACAAAACAAAACCCACCCAAAACACCAGTAGGTGGTTCAGCAAAGTCATAAGAGAAATGAGACGCTGAAAACATCAGGAAAAGCTCTGTAAAGATGGGATCCTGAAGAAAGGGTAATCGGAGGAGCGTCTTCTTGGAACCTTTGAGAACATTTTCATTCCCACAGTTCAGCTCAGTGGTCTGCTCAATGTTAGCAGATGTTTTCATGCCCCATTCCTGGGATTTGAACTCAGGGTCTGGGTGCTATCCCTGAACTTTTTTTTGCTCAAGGCTGGTTCTCTATTATTTAAGCCATAACTCCACTTCTGGCTTTCTGGTAGTTAGCTGGAGATAAGAATCACTGATTTTCCTGCCTGAGCTGGCTTCAAATGTGATCCTCAGATTTCAGCCTCCTGAGTAGCTAGGACTACAGGTATGAATGAACCTGTAATTTTTTTTTGAAGACAAGATCTTACTATGTAGTTTCCCAGGCTATTCTGACACTTTCTGTGCTCTTGAGTGAAGAGATTACAGACATGAACCATTGTACCCAGCTTTATGGTTTTATTTGAATTAGGTCAGTTGGTATTAACCTCCTTCCCTCCAGAGCAACCAACTGCATATCTAAACCCCAGGTATCCCCTGTGACCAAGTGTCTGCCACATTCCTACTCCCCCTAGTTTCTTCCAGCTAGCTACTAGTTTGTGTTTGTGTACCTTCTTGAGACACAATTGCTGGTTAACACTCCTGTCAGGTTTAGGATTATTAAATACTAAATTAAGAAGATCCAACCCTCAGGCTAATAGCTACATTCTCACCTAATTTAGGAATTATATTAACTACATAGTTTTGAGCCTATTTCAAATTACATTTAATTCTGTGTTTTATTAAGATCTCAAGTAGCTGAAATCACCTTATATTTTTCCCAATTAGAAGTCAGATTCATTTCCCAAGACAGATTTTTCAATCTTCTTGGCAGGACTGCCTGAAGATGAGTACTCAGTGCAGCCTTCAGATCCCATTTTTGTAAGTGAGCACACAGGAGAGTTCCCTGTCAGCCACAAAACCCCTCTATTAACATGCATTTCCATCCTTGCTCACTCCGGTCCCTTCAGAGGACAATCAGAGGACACATTGTGAAGTGACCCCAGCCTGCTGGAAATGCCACCTAGACTTAACATTAGGTTCTTCTCTGTAACTTAAAGAGTAATAAGTAAAACTACACAAAATGTCTGCTTGGCTTAAAAAGGGGAAAGAGATAAACACTTTTCAAAAATTGTAACATTGTTACTCAAAAACTGCATCAGAGGGAAAAAAGTTCACTGAAATTTTGGAGTCTCTTAACTCTAAAAAAAGTCCGAGTTTGAAATTAAGGCGCAAGTTAGCAGGAGGAGGCAGAAATTAAGAGAATTTTTATTGGCTTTCATCAAAGAGTGCTTCAAGAAATAACATTATGAAATCAGTTATTGCATTTGGTGTAAGGATGTTCCTACACAGTGCCCAATGGGAGATCTCTTGGCATTTCCTATATTAAACTCCAGGCAGGAAATTTCTGAGATAAATACTGAGAAAAAAAAAACACCAAACACTCAACAGCTCAAAGATCTGTCTCTGATCTGTGTGCTCTCCTCACAGAAATGAAAAGCACAGAACTAACCTTGACTTCCTTCATTACGTGACTCTGAGATTAATTTATACCTCAATTCTAGCAATTGTGGCAAGGCCCATGGCCTATATACTAGTGACTTGCTTTCCTTCCTGGTCTAATTTGTTTTTTATCACTCATATATTGTGATAGTCATATGTTTCTCTTAAAGTCATCTCAAATGCGAATGGCTTTTTGGAGTGAAGTAAAATATTAACAGAGATTATTCAAAGAAAATACCATACTTTGTGAAAGCTGGCATTAACAATGCTAAACGAACAAAGTAGAATGAAGAGAATGTTCATATGAAAAAAAGAAAAATGAGAGATGTAAAAAAATGTGAAATCTGCACAGAAATTGAGATAAATTAAGAAATATGAAATTGAAATAACACTTCTCAGTCCTTTTCTCTTAAAAAAAAGATACTTAATTCTCAAGAGCCAGCTAAAAGACTTTCATTAATCTAGGGAATATGTGTGTGTATATATATACATATATACACATATATATACATATATACACACATATATACATATCTGTGTAATTTTTCTTTTTTTTTTTTTTTTTGATGCCAGTCCTGGGGCTTGCACTCAGAGCCTGGTTGCTGTCCTTGGGCTTCTTTTTGCTCAAGGCTAACACTCTACCATATGAGCTCCACTTCTGGCTTAAAAAAAAAAAAATTATATATATATATATATACACACACACATATATATTATATATATATATATATATATAGTTATTATAAAGGTGAAATACAAAGGGATCAGAGTTATGTTTTCGACAATATCACCCTTTCCCTTGCTCTCTCCCAGTTTTCACTTCCAGTATTTGTGTGGTTAACTGGAGATAACAATCTCATGGACTTTTCTTGCCTGGGCTGGCTAACAACTGGGATCCTCACATCTCAGCCTCCTGAGTACTAGGATTATGGGCATGATCACCAGTACCTACAAGGGCATATATTTAATGTAAGAGTTAATATCATTAGTAGTAGTTACAGGAAGCCTTGCATGATATTTTAAATTAACAAAGCACCACTACATCCATTATCTCATTTAATCTATTCAAGATTTTAAAACAAAATTTCTACCTTTTGTGTTTCAGGATCTATTAGCCAGTTCCAGGCACCAGTAGCTGTACAGACAGATACCACTATAAGCAGCACTGATGAAAGATAAACACGAAGTTAGTTAGTGAGCAAACATACCCTCATATTTCATAACCACCACCAGCTCCTAACAAACAAGGGGCAGCCAAAGAGCATAACACATTCTTAAATGGAAAACACACTGACTGGACTCAAGAACTGGAAGACCTGGCATGTGGCCTTGAAGAATTCTCTTAACACTGTAAACTTTTGTAATTGGGGTACCCTACCTTTTGTTACTTAGTTAGAACTAATGAGAATGAAGATTAATGAAATTAAAAGAAACCAGATGGTGAAACTTTGATAAGACTCTGTTATATAATTGTGTTATGTTTGGAGCTGATTTTTGCACATCTTGCAAACTAAAACTAAAAAAAAATTTTTTTTAAATTCATTTTTCAAGTGTATACAAACCAAACAAAGGCTCCTTTTTTAATGTACTGGGATTCTAACTAAGGACTTTGCCATGCAGACAAATGCCTGCTGTGGAATTAAACAAAGGTCGCTGTTAGAAGTGTGGGGTCAGTGGAGCAGACCAATCACTATCAGATTTTCTTTTACAACCTAAACAAAAGTCAGGACAGAAATCAGGGCTTGTAGAACTTAGAAAAATTTATCCCTCCACATTAAGCTAGAATTATTTTAGAAATTCTAAACAGATCATAATAAAACTGAAGAATAACATCAGAGAATAGTAACAGAGCCCCACAATGTAGTTGATATTCTGAGATAAGGATAGCTGCTCATCTTTTAGTGAAGATGAACTAGTTTTCAAATGTGGAGATTAAGTTTAAAGAAAGCAATAGATATAGGAAACCTTGGCCATTTAAAGTTCCTAGTGACACAGATAAACTGGAAAAAATTCATTTTAGGTATTTAACAGAAGAATTAAAATATCAAAATTGTGTTTTGAACTATGAACAAACTAAACTCAATTTATTGTAATCTGTATTTCTAGAATGAAGTATACAAGACTACATAGGCAAAATTTGTCATGGTGGGATTTGAATTCTGGGCCTCAAGTTTGCTGGTTGGTATTCTAAAACTTGAGCCATTCTTTCAGTTCTTCTTGTTGGTTACTCTGGAGTTGATGTCTAGTAAATTTTTCTGCCAAGGCTGGCTTCAAACCACAATCCTCCAGATCTCAGCCTCCTGAGTAGCTAGCATTACTGCCACTGGTACTTTTATTTTTAAAAAATAAAGTAAAAATGAAAACACTAGAGAAGACTCATCTATGTGCTTGTATTTGATTACTACATTAAACAAGCTGTCTCTTATCTGCAGCACTGAGACATGAGTCAGAAAAAGTGTGCTCTTGACCTTTCACTTTGCAAGCTAGGGAAGCATGGAATACATTTTGAAAGACTTTCAAGGAACTGTAAAACCAGATAAATCAGAGAATAAGAAAAATCACAACTTATAAATCTGGCTAATCAAGATTCTCACAGTATATGATTACAATTCACAAATTACACAGAAAAAAATCCTGACCTAGGGGGGGAAAATCTCTTATTTTTGCTCTGGCAAAGCAAGTTACACTTTAAATAAATGGTAGGGATGCAGTTCAGTAGTAGAGCACTTCATCTCATGCACTAGAAACTGGGTTTGACCAAAGGTATAGTCTAAAGGTATGTCCAAAGGTATAGTTTCAAGGTATGTGCTATTTTACTTGTGTGTGTGTATATGTGTGTGTGTGTGTGTGCGCGCGCGCACACGCGCGTGTGCCAGTCCTGAGACTTGAACTTGGGGCCTGAGCATTGTCCCTGAGCTTCTTTTGTTCAAGGCCAGTGCTCTATCATTTGAGCCAGAGCTTTACTTCGAGCTTTTTTTGTAATTTACTGGAGGTGAGACTCTCATGGGCTTTTCTGTCTTGGCTGGCTTGGACCTAGGATCCTTAGATATCAGCCTCCTGAGTAGCTAGGATTATAAGTGTGAGTCACCAAGGCTGGCTTTACTTCCTCCTAATTAAATTGAATTTAGCAAACATTCAAGATATTAAGACTTGGGGCTAGGAAAGTGGCTCAGTGGTAGAGTGCTTGCCTTGCATGCATGAGGCCCTGGGTTTGATTCCTCAGCACCACATAAGCAGAAAAAGCTGGAAGTGGAGCTGTGGCTCAAAGTAGTAGAGCACTAGCCTTGAGCTGAAGAGCTGGGGGACAGTGCGCAGGCCCAGAGTTCAGGCCCCATGACCGGCAAAAAAAAAAAAAAAAAGGCATTAGGACTTGTCCAAAGCAACACATGATGGCCTGCTACTAGAGCTTACTGAAGAGGGTTGACAGGAAGAGTTTGAGCGCAGGTATTGAAGGCTAGACTGAACAAAAGTGAGACCCAATATCAAAACAGAAGAATATTTTATCACGTGTATATTAGTCAACATTTCTTAAACAGTATCTTTCCATGGGACAGTAATTACAACTCATTCAAATCATACTTTATAAAACTTTAAATATTTACAAAAAGATAGGAATAACATACATTCCTTTTCTGAGTCAGGCGCCAAAGCAACACCAGTAGGTTATATTATAAAAATCAACTAGATTGACTGTGGTTCATGCCTATAATCCTACCTACTCAGGAGGTTGAGATCTGAGGATTGTAGTTCAAAGCCACCCAGGCAGGAAAGTCCATGAGACTCTTACCTCCAATCAACCACCAGAAAACCAGAAGTGGCACTGTGGCTCAAGTGGTAGAGCGCTAGCTTTAAACTGAAGAGTGCAAGGACAGTACTCAGGCCCAGAGTTCAAGCCCCTCGACCAACCAAAAAAAAAAAAAAGAAAGAAAAATCAAAAAAAGAACTGAGATTATGGGCTGGGAAGGTGGCTTAGTGGTAGAGTGCTTACCTGGGCTCTAAGCCCTGGGCTCGATTCTTCAGTACCACATAAACAGAAAAAGCTTCAAGTGGTACAGTGGCCCAAGTGGTAGACTGCTGGCCTTGAGCAAAAGAAGCTCAGGTACAGTACCCAGGCCCTGAGTTCAAGGCCCAGGACTGGCAAAAAAAAAGTCAACTAGAGATATATGAGAAGCTGAGATCAGAAGAATCATTAGTCCAGGTCAGTCTGGGCAAAATGTTTGAGACCCTATCTTGATCAAAAACAAATGCTCAGTGTGATGTTGTCATCCCAATGATAGAAAATATAAATAGAAGGATCATACTCTAGCCAGCCCAGCAAAAAGCAAGACCCAACATAAAAAATAAGTAGAATGAAAAAGGGTTGAAGGTAGGGCTGATGTGGTATGGAGTGCCTGCTTTGCCTAGCCCTGAGATCAAACTTCAGTACCACCAAAACAGACACAGACACAGACAGACAGACAGACAGACAGAGACACTGACATGCACACACACTAACCAACCTAATTAAAAGTCCAATAAGGGAAACATTAAAATTTTGCAATATGAATTTTTTGGGGGTACAGAATGCAAGGCATCACAAATGCTAAGCACATACTCTCCCAGCCACACATCCCCAGTCAAAATGTCTTGCTTTTGTGTGTGTGTGTGCCAGTCCTGGAGCTCGAACTGAGGCCATGGGCGCTGTCCCTGAGCTTTTTTGTTCAAGACTAGATCTCCATCACTTGTGTCACAGTTCCACTTCTGACTTTTGGGGTAGGTAATTGGAGATAAGTGTCTCACAAACTTTCCTGTCTGGGCTGGCTTTGAGCCATGAGCCTCAGATTTCAGTCTCCTGAGTAGTTAGGATTACAGGCATGAGCCACTGGCACCTGGCTCAAAAAATTAAAAACAGAAAACCACAATCACTTCAAAAGGTTGTACACAAATAGTAAAACCACTAAACAGGCCTCTGAAATTTTCACTGTGTGTTACTAAAGTTACAATATTTAATGAAAAGTTGAAGTATATGTTTTCGTAGAAAAATGTAAAATGCAACCACATAGAATAGTTGGTTCTTTTAGGGTAACCAGTTTACATAACCTTGTCATAGACATATCTTTGTAATGCATTGTTTACAGTGGGTTTTTTTGGGGGGGGTTGGTCATGGGGTCTGAACTCTGGGCCTGTGAGCTGACCCTCAGCTCTTCAGCTCAAGGTGAGCGCTTTACTACTTGAGTCACAGCACCACTTCCAGCTTTTTCTGTTTATGTGGTGCTGAGGAATTGAACCCAGGGACTGATGCATGCAAGGCAAGCACTCTACTACTGAGCCACCTTCTCAGCCCCTTGTTTACAATGTTCAAGTAAGTTTTAAAACTGTCTGAATAAAGAGGACCCTTATGGTTTAATAAAGCAAGCACTGACTCAGTCCTATTTGGGAATAAAATGATCAAGTATCACCTTATCTTAAAATATATGGCAACTTACTTCTCCAACGTCCTGTGGCAGGCTGCAAGCAGTGAATATATTCAGTAAGCCTTCTCTCGAAAGCCTTGAGGTCTAGGAAGAAATGTTTCAGTTCTCTGATTAGCCAAGCTTACTAGTTTGAACCTACTAAGAAGACATTTTATATGGTTAACTGATTCAGGTCTTATCCACCAAATGACACCCAAGACAGTTTCAAAGTATTAAAAAATTATCTTTAAGTAGTTGTACAAAGGGGGTTTCAATTCCACAGTCAGTTTGTGAGTACGGTGCCCTTTCCGTACTTTCCCCCTCTCGCATTTCTCCCGACCCCACCCATCTCCTGTAGTTTCCAAGTTCCACTTCACCAATGCACTTTGCACATTACCTCTCTCGGTCGTCTGCCCCGGCCTCCTAGCCTCCCTCTCCTCCTGACACAAGTTTGTTTACGAGGACAGTTTTAAGCACCTTGGTGAAAACATGACTCCCGATTTCGCACACAGGACACTGGGCGGATTTTACTTTGAGAAGCTTCCAAACAAGCCGGGAAGAGCTGGGATCGATCTGAGGCGTGGGGGAGAGGGGAGAGCTTGCAAATAAAAGGACCCAGACCAGGCTCGAGCTCCTCCTATTCTGCGGAAACGGAGAACTTTCTCCCAGTACCCCACCGCGGTCAGAGATCGCGGTCACCCGGCGCGGGCATCCGTGCTGGGTTAACGGCAAAGCCGCCGGGGTTTCCTAGACCTCAGGCTACTGGGAACGGGGTGCGGGGCAGACACCCTCCGTTCCCCCTCCCCAGGCTGGCAGGTGATCCCCGCGGTGCCCACGGCCTGCGCTAAGGCGGGGTGTCCAAGCGCTCCCTCCGACTAGAGATGGGGTGGAATTGCACCCGGGCGCTCTTGCTGACGGCAGCAGGCACTGGAGAAGCCCGGAACACCTCGGGCCGCCGACCCCGGGGGTTGTCAGAAGAAGGAAACGAGCTCACGTACGACCACTGAGGAGCGAAGGACGA